ATACAAAGAACTCAAAAAACAGAGAAACAAGAAAATAAAAGAAGATGGAACAAGGACCTAAACAGAGAGTTCTCAAACAAAGAAACAAAAATGGTTAAGAAACACCTTAAAAAGTGGTCAACATTCATAATAATTAGAGAAATGCAGATCAAAGATGTGCATCCTACCCCAGTCAGACTGGCTAAGATCAAGAGAACAAATGATACCAAATGCTGGCAAAGATGTGTAGAAAGGGAAACACTCATTCACTGCTAGTGGGAATATGAACTTGTGCAATCACTATGGAAAGCAGTGTGGAGAACTCTTAAAAACTAAAAATTAATCTACCATATGATCCACTTATGCCACTCCTTGGCATACACCCAAAGGACTCACCCTGTGCATCAGTATTTGTTGCAGCTCTTTTTACAATAGCTGAGAAATAAAAACAATCTAATGTCATTCACTTAATGAATAAATAATGAAAATGCAGCACATTTACACAGTAGACTTGTACTCAGCAGTAAGAAAAGATGAAATGTGCAGGCAAATGGATGGAGCTAGAAACTGTTATATTAAGTGAAGTAACAGATCCAGAAAATTAAGCGACATATGTTCTCCCTCATTTGCAGATTGTAGCACTATTCCATTATACACGAGTATATAGTCTGCTCTAACAGCAAGAGACCAGAAAATGGAAAGGAAGTACAGAGGTAAAGGGAAAGAGCGAGCCTGAAAGGGGGAAGTATGAAACAGATGTTAACAAGAAGGAAATGGAGAAAATATGAGTACTCAACTGGAAAGGGAGGAGGAAAAGACACACAAGGAACCAGGGAAGTAAAGGGGAAGAAGGAACTGAAGAAAGGGGAATAGTAAGAGGCAGATATTATCAAGGAGAAAAGGGGAAGATGAGGGGCACTTAAACTGAGGAGGGGGGAAGTGGATAGATGGGAGAGAGAGAGAGAGAGGGAGAGAGAGTTTAGATGGTGTAAAAATTCAGAAAGAACCTCAAATGACCTTAAGAGTAAAAGTAAACTGGTTTATCTGGGCCAACTGTATGGCCTTAAACACCCAAAAGGAAAGTATAACCAAAGATTAAAGG